CTGGGCTCCGGCGATCCTTCCGCCTCAGCCTTCCAAGTAGCTGGAGCTACAGGCGCGCACTACCACGCCCAGCTAGTTTTTGATTTATTGTAGAGACAGGTCTCACCCAGTTCCCCGGGTGGATCTCAAACTCAAGGGCTCAGGCAATCCACTCACCTCGGCCTCCCATAGTGCTGGGATGACAGGTTGGGCCACCGAACCCGGCCTAGTTTTTTCATTTATTGTGGAGACGAGGTCTCACCACGTGGCCCGGGCTGGTCTCAAACCCCCGGACTCAGGCAATCCTCTCGCCTCAGCCTCCCAAAGTGCTGGGATGACAGGCGTGAGCCACCGTGCCCGGCCCACACATGCCTTTCACCTCTCACTGGGGGCAGATATTGGACGCCCCTAGGCTGGGCGTTTCTGGCTCAGGGCCTCATAAGGGTGCCCTGAGCAGTGCCAGGACTGCCATCTTGGGGGCATTGGGGGCCGAAGTGTCATGTCCCAGGCGGTTCACTCAGCCAGCCGAGGGGATGGCGCCGGCCGTGGGCGGGAGGCCCCAGCGGGCTCCTTCTATGTGGGCCTCTCTGCTGGGTCGAGCGTCCACGCAGGACAGTGAGCTTCAGCGTTCACTCTGCCGTGCAGGCGCTGCTGCCGCCTGTCACTTCCGATCTGGCTCTGAAATTGAAGGTAGCCAGCACCCTGCTCTGGGAGCGAGATGAGTTTGGGAGGAAGAGGGCGATTAATACATCGCCTCCAAAGTCTGTGGAGGGTGAGGTCCACACACGCCAGCCGGGGCTGGTGGCCAACCCACGACCACCCCTTCTGAGTCTGCTGGGATTCCTGAGACCACGGCCTCTGCTGGCCTCTGCCCACACACCCCCAGGTTCCACCTCCTTCTCCTGCCCTGAGGTTCTCACTTCCGGCCCTTGGGCGCAGCTTGTGAATTAAAATGTCCCAAACATGAACGTGTGATAAAGTGGGGTGTGAGTAATAGGGACTGGCGGCGCCTGCGGCAACCTAGACAGTGCCTGAAGGCATTCCCTTCAAAAAGGATTTTTTTTTCTTGCCGTCCTGGCCAAACAAATCAAAGCTGCTAGATATTGGCTTCTGAGTCTGAAACTCACGCAGCCTAGAGGATAAAAGGAAAATAGACCCAAATCACGACCCACAGCTGCTCCCTTTGCAGGCATGTGCGCACACATGCAAACACACACACACACACACACACACACACACACACAC